AGCTGGCATTTCCAACAATGTTAAATAATAGTGGTGTCAATGGCATTCTTGCTTTATACCTTATCTTACTGGAAAAGTCACCAATCTTTCTCCACTATATATGTGTCCTCTTGGTTTTAGAGATATTACTTACCCTGTTAAGGAAAATTCTATTTATTTCTATGCTTTCTATTGCTTTTAATAGAAATGAATTAGATTTCATCAAAAGTCTTTTCAGCATGGATTGGTATAATCATGTTTAAAATTCTTTTTATTATGGTCTTTTATGTTTATAGTTTTCCTAATCTGAACAAGCCCTGCATTTCTGGTATAAATCAAACCTGGTTATATGTATAATCTTTTCAATATGCTATTGAAGCCAATTTGCTAATCTTTGATTCAATGTTTTTTGCACCAATGATCAATTAGAAATATTCATGTATAGTTTTCTTTCTCTGATTTGTTCTCCACTTGTTTAGGTATCAAGATCATAATTATATTATAGCATTTAGAAGGGTCCTTTCTTTTATTTTTGGAATCAGTTTGTGTAATAATGGAATTAAGTATACTTTGAATTTGATAGAATTCAGTTGTAAATCCATCTAGTCTTAGTGGCTTTTTGTTTTGTTTTGTTTTTGCTAGGCAATAGGGTTAAGTGACTTGCCCAGGTCACACAACTAGTAAGTGTCAAGTGTCAGAGGCTGGATTTGAACTCAGGTCCTCCTGACTTCAGGGTTGGTGCTCTATCCATTGTGCCACCTAGCTGTCCCCTTGGTGGCTTTTTTCTTCAGAAGTTCAATTATGACTTTTAAAATTTTCTGATAATTAAAAAGAATTATCTATTTCTGTTTCTAATCTGGATATTTTATGTTTCTGTAAGTATATTATTTCATCTAACTCAAAATTTAATTGGAATATAATCAGGAAAAATAATTTCTGATAGTTACCTTTATTTCCTTATTTATTGTGAATTCTCCTTCATTTTTAATAGGAACATTTTGATTTTCTTCTCTTTAAAAATCAGACTTGCTACATGTTTGCTTTTAAAAACAAAATCAGTGCCTTCTTTTAATTTGTCAATTCAATGGTTTAACTTCAATTTGGTTGATTTCTTTTTGCTTTTTAGAATTTCTACTTTCATGTTTGGTTAGGGGTGGTTGACTTGTTGCTTTTGTAGTTTTTTTTTTTTTTCTGCATGCCCAATTCATTGATTTTGCTGATTTCTATTTTGTTGATGAAGGTGTTTAGAGATGTAACTTTCTCCCTATAATGATGGCTTTAGCTGGATCTCATACATTTATTTTGGTCTGTTCTATCATTGTAATTTTTTTTTCTTTTTGAGCTAGCTAGGTGGCACAGTGTATAGAGCACTGGGTCTAGGGTAAGGAATACCTGAGTTCAGATCTGGCTTCAGATACTTATTAGCTGTGTGACTCTGGGCAAGTCATTATGTTTCCTCAACTGTAAAATGGGGATTATAAAAACATGTACCTCACTTTTTTGTGAAGATCAAATGAGAAAATATTTGTAAAAAGCACTCAGCACAATGTCTAGCACACAATAGATGTTAAATACTTAATCCCTTGTCTTCCCTCCCCTCTTTGTTTTTGTTTTTTGGTTTTTTTTTTTTGGCTAGGCAATGGAGTTAAGTGACTTGCCCAGGGTTACACAGCTAGTGTTATGTGTCTGAGGGCAGATTTCCCTCCCCTCTTTGAAGAAATTTTCTATTCTTTCTATGATTTTTTTGATCCACCAATTATTTAGGTTTAAATTATTGTCTCCAATTAATTTTAAATTTTCTTTAAAAATTCTTTAGATACAATTTTAATTGTATTAGTAGAGTATGTGTTTACCAGTTTCACTTCTTTAGGACTGATTGCTGCTAAATCTCATGTGATTCTGACTATGGTTCTTTGGTACTTGAATTCTTTTTTTTTGGCTGCTTGAAGTTTTTTGTTTTTTTTTTAATCTCAGGAGCTCTGGATTTTGGCTATAATATTCCTGGGAGTTTTCATGTTGGGATTTCTTTCAGAAGGTGGTAGATTCTTTTAATTTCTACTTTACCCACTGATTGTAAAAGATCTGGGCAGTTTTCTCTCAAGATTTCTCAAAATATGATGACTACGTTCTTTTTTTTTGGTTATGGCTTTCAGGTAGTCCAATGATAAATGATCTCATTCAAAATCATCAAGTAGATCTTTTCAGGTCATTTTTTTTTTTTTTTTTTTTTTTTGCTGGGGGTTCTCACATCTTTTTTTCTTCTTCTTCAGTCTTTTGACTTTGAATATTTCTTGATGCAGGGGCAAGGGGGTGGCACAGTGGATAGGGTGCCTGGCCTGGAGTCAGGAAGACTTCTTTTCCTGAGTTCAAATCCAGCCTCAGACATTTACCAGCTGTGTAACCCTGGGCAAGTTAACTCTGCCTCAGTTTGCTCATCTGTAAAATGAGTTGGAGAAAATGGCACACCATTCCAATATCTTTGCCAAGAAAACCCCAAATGAGGTCTCAGTGAGTTGGACACAACTGAAAAGTCTGAATAAATTTCTTGATGTCTCATGAAGTCATTAGTTTCTATTTGGTCAATCTAATTTTTAAGGAGTTATTTTCTTGAGGAAGTTTTTATACCTCTTGTTCCTACTGTTATTTCTCTTTTTGTATCTTCCTTCCATAGCTCTCATTTCTTTCTCCATTTTCCCCTCTACTTCCCTCATGTTTTTAAAAATAATTTTTAGCTGTCTCATTATTATATTTTGGCTCTTGGTTTAAATCTTCCACTAACGATTTAAAATTTATGTTTGTTTTTGATCACATACATTTAACATTTTCTTTTTTTGTTCAATCTTTTGGTTTTGTTTTAATGTTTCTGGTATCTTGGAATAATTTTTTATTTGTTTGGTACACTCTGAATTTTCCAAGGATTAAATTCTTGAGCAATTTTTGCCACTATCTGTTCAAAAGTAACAATTCTCCTTGCCATTTTTTCCCTCCATAGCTATACTAGTTTGCATCTCATTTCATGTATTCCATGTACTCTTGTAATTTATGGTCATGACATTATTTCCTTTGAGGATACACTCAGACTTGGTGAACAGCTATTCTCTTCTTTTGGGTTTACCCTTTTCACTTCTCTGAATTTAAGGTATTTCTTCCTTGTGTTTGTCATTTTCCTTTGTTTACTCATATCTCCATTTTCAGTTTATTAGGAATTCACATACAGGTCAAACTCTGCTCCTATATTCCTGGAAGGTATATAACTCTGCTTGATTCTGAGTTTGGTAGCCAAGATTGAGCTTGGCTATTTCCTACCACAATTAGGGCTCCTAGGTCACCCTACCTTGTATACCAATCTGTCCCCATTTGTTGTCTCAGAGTGGGCCCCTGAGAAAACCCATACAGGATACTCCTTTGGCTCCGTCTTCTATCATGGAAGTTATCTGTAAGTTGCCCTGAGCTGGGTCTGGACATTGGTTTGAATCTTTTTTCTGTCATTGATGATGTCCTTGGATCACTTTGACTATGCTGGTTGGGCTGTCTTCAGCCTCAGATCTGGAATGGGTCTCTGGGTTGCCTGTGTTAGGCAATGCTCTGATCCTTTTTACTAAGTGGGACTGGGCTGTTTCATATTTCACCTTATACCTACCCAGTTTATCTCTGATAAAATACTTCTGCAAGATTCTAGCAATATATGTTTTTTAATTTATTTTTTTTTCTTTGTGCAGTCTTTGACCAGATCTAGGAGTTTATAGTGGATTTGCTTTGATTTTATCATAGTTCCTTTTGGTGGATTTTTAGAGCTTTACTGGGTGGGTCTGGGCTCTGCTATGTCCTAACACACTGCAATCTTCCCAAAATCCATTATAAATTCATCTCAGACATTTTCTTTAAAGATAAAAACAAAGGAAAGAAATCTGTTCAGAAACAAAAGCCCTTTCACCCAATAGAAATAAGTTAAACGTATACAAGAATCTATCCCTGCATTTTCTTGGGTGAAGAAATCTTCTTTTATGGCTTTTCTCTTAAAGTAGCCTACACAAAAAATATGCCAGACTTGCCCAAATTACCTTCTAATATCCATTAAAATAGATAAAGAGATTGTCTGCTACATACTGGTACCAATGAATTACTTTTAAAGAAAATTTTATTGATGCCTTTTGTTTTTATATCACAGGTCATTTCTTAATAATTCATCTTTCTCCTCCTCTACCCAGGGAGCCTTCCCTTCTAAGAAAAAAGGGAATTTAACAAAACCACTCAATACATTGACTACATCTAATAGCATATTCAACATCCCATGCCCATTATCCATCTCCCAATGAAAGGAGAAATATTTATCTCCTCATCTCTTCTCCACGGGCAAAGACTGGCCATCATAATTACACAAAGCATTAAATTTTCAATTGTTTTTGCCATCTGCATTGTTGTAGTTCTGTTTTCTTGGTTGTACTTACCCCATTCTGCATTTATTCAGACAAATATTCCAATGTTTCCTTGCATTTCCTAATCATCATTTTTACAAGGCAATAATATTCCATTACATTTATGTACCACAATTACTTAGCCATCCTCAGTCAATGGACATGTACTTTTTATCTACTTCTTCACTACCCACAAAAAATAGTGCTATAAATATCTTGGCATACATTGATTCTTTCTTTCTATCCTTGATCTCTTTAGCATAAGCCTAATGGTAACATCTCTGGGTAAAAGGGTATGAACATTTAAAAGTCAGTTTTTCACATAATTCAAAATTGTTTTACAGAATAGTTGGAACCATAGCTTCACAAACATATTATTGTGCCTGTCTTTTCAGTCTCTCCAACACTGACTTCCATCCTTTGTCACCTTTGCCAATTTGCTGAGTGTAAGGTGAAACCTCAGATTTGTTTTGACTTGTATTTCTCTTATTATTACTGATATGGAACAATTTTCACATGCTTTATAATCATCTCCAGTTCTTTTGAGTTCTGTTTCTCCATATTCTTTGACCACTTATCTAGTAAGGAATGGATCTCAGTCACATATTTGTGTAACTTCCCATTTATTTAGACATCAGACCTTCGTCAGAAATATGAGATGCCAAGGATTTTCCCCCCAATTGAGTTACCCTTTATATTAGATGCATTGATTATTTTCTCTTCTATTTCACTTAAAGTCTTGTATACTTCTATTCTCTACTGTGTTATGATTTTAATTAGGAAAACATTTAGAAGATAAATGTACATATATGTATGTATAAATATACATACTATATATATGAAATAACCACACATTACACATTTTGAAGCTGTCTCCATTTATATTGTAATAGTCAACATGCATACTATCCTTTAGGCTATACTTTTTTTCTTCCATCACTTCATAGAAGTTTTTGCATGTTCTCTGAATTCTTCATCTATGGCTATATTACATCTTTATATCAATACCTACATATCTTCATATGTAGCTTTTGCGTGTGTCAGAAATACCCCAAGTCTCACTCTTCATTGACTTTGCTTAAGGCTGCGGGGGGGCCCTTCAAAAACTATCCCCTTTGTCTGTAGGCAGGCTTCTGCACAGTCCTCTGGAAACACAATAGAAGCCTGGCCCCTAGGTTCCACAGAGCAGAGATTCCAGACCTGGGGAAAACTGAAAACGATGCCACAGCCCACGTGAGGAAGCAAGATTTCCCCTACATATGAGGAAATATCAACAATCTTCCTTTGGGCTACTGCTTTCTCTGCGGATCTACATTTCAGCTATTGGCACTTACTCCTGTTTCTGTATCTTGATATGAAGTCAAGAAGTCAGTTAACTGAAACCAAAACTTTCAGCCCAGCAAATGTGGCTTCAATACATCAGTTTTGTGCATGAGTTATCCTTCATCTTTTTTGTTGTGTCTGCTGAGTGTTCATAAAACTACCCCTTTAGAAAGCATTTACTGCTAAATGGTGGGAGAAATGCACACAAGACTCCTGTCCAAGCTGCAACAATGCTTTTTGATTTATTGCTTACCCTTTCAGGGCTGCTCTACAATATGAGTTTTCTTGCACCAGGTAAGGGATAAGCTTCAAATGAATGCTGCTCCACATTCAGAAATCTTCTTAGGATGAATATTTTGCTAGTTATGTTCTCCAGCCAAAGACTTCCTAACATTGATTACATTCATAAGGTTTCTTGCTAATATGAATTTTCTGACAGGAAGTAAGGCATGTTCTACCCAAAGGAAGGCCTCTACATCTTTATTATATTAATATTTCTCTCCAGAATGAATTCTCTGATGGTAAAGAAAGGATGAGTTATATCTAAAAGCTTTGCCACATTCATTACATTCATAAGGTTTCTCTCCAGTATGAATTCTCCTGTGGGTAGTAAGTGGTGTGCTCTGGGCAAAGGTCTTACCACATTCATTACACTCATAAGGTTTCTCTCCAGTATGAATTCTCTGATGGGAATTGAGCTGTGTTTTCGACCTGAAGGCCTTCCCACATTCATTACATGGATAAGGTTTCTCACCTGTATGAATTTTCTGGTGGTAGGTAAGAGATGAGTTGGACCTAAAAGCTTTGCCACATTCAGTACATTCATAAGGTTTCTCTCCAGAATGAATTCTCTGGTGTGATGTAAGTTGTGCTCGTAGAATAAAGGCCTTTCCACATTCTTCACATTCAAAAGGTTTTTCTCCAGTATGAATTTTATAGTGATACTTAAGAGATGAGCTGCAGGTAAAAGATTTTCCACATTCTTTACATTTATGAAATTTCTCCCCAGTATAAATTCCCTGATACCTAGTAAGATGGATGAAGGCTTTCCTGTATTCATCATATCCATAAATTCTCTCTATAATATCTGTTATATGATCCTGAAAAGGGTTTGAATTATAGTGAGATGACTCTCCAAATTCATTATGCTTAGAAAGTTTCTTATCATCAAAATCCCAGTCTTCTTCCAGTTTGGAATCCTGGTAATTATTCCTTGTGTATTTTTCCAGGGATGATTTATCCCTATCAATGTCCACCTGTAGAACTGGTTTCTTTACTTCAGGTTTAGTTTCCCAATCTGAAATATATTTTTAAAAAAATCACTATTCCATTTCCTGTTAGAAGATTATTTTATGCATTTAATTCTAGAAGAAAGCATACAGTACATTCAAATCTGTTCCTTCTTGGGGCAGCTAGGTGGTGCAGTGAATAGAATACCAGCATTGGAGTCAGGAGGACTTGAGTGACCACAGACATTTACTAGTTGCGTGACCCTGGGCAAGTCACTTAACCTCAACTGCCTCCAAAAAAAAAAAAAAAAAATCTGTTCCTTCTCATCAAAGATAATTATCCTCAACCTTGAAAGCAAAAAACAAATAAAACACTCCTCACACTTATAACTGTGTAGTGATTATAATTTATAAAGAACTTTCACATATTTAGTTTGTTCTTTCAAAACTCTGTGCAGTAGGCAGGGCAGGTCTTATATTATGTAAGGAAACTGAGGTTCAGTGTAAGTGATTTGCCAAAGACCAAAACGATAACATGGAAAGACTGGGATTATAACTGGGACCTACTGACTACTTAGTCCATAGCTCCTTCCATAATAGCACGGTGCGTCTCAAACATCACTGGAGGAAACTTAAGCCCTGGGTTGAGAGACAGTACGAGAGTACTGAAGTGACTTTAATGAGTTCAGACATCGAGGCCTGGCACAGAGCAGATCTGCTGCTACCTCTCGTCATTTCTACCTTCACAACATGTGATCTTGACATCCCTTTTTCCCACAGTCCCTCAATCACTGCCCTTGCAGAGGCCCTCAGCACCTTATTCCTGAACTGTGATAGCTTTCTGGTTGGTTTCCCTACCTCAAATCTCCCCTCCCCAGTCTATCCTCCAATTAGCTGCCAAGTGATCTTCCTAAAGAGCAAATCTGAGCATGTTGACTCCAGTGCCTTCCTATTCCCTCCAGAGTCAAATAGCAAAGTCTCTGTTGGGCTTTTAAGGGCCTTCACAACTCTGAGGGCTTCCTACCTTCCCAGCTTTCTTGCACTCTACTCTTCTCTTTCTCCTCTACGATCCAACATGTGATTCCTTGAACATGCCACTCCCCTCTCCCAACTTCATGCCTTTTCATTGGTTGTGCCCCCTCCCTGGAATGCTGCCCTTTACCTCTCCTTCTTGGCTTCCTTCAAGACCCAGTTAAAATTCCACCTCCTGTAAGAAGCCTCTTCCAGTCCTCCCCTGCTTGTCTCCCTGCCCCATGCTGGTGCCATCCCTCTGAAATCACTTCCCATCTATCCTGTGTAAACCTTGTAGGTACACAGTTCTCCCCCACTGGAATGTGAGCTCCCTGAGGAAATGTGGTTGTTTTTTTTTTTTTTTAGTATCCTCCGAACTTAGCACAGTGCCAGGCACACGGTAAGAACTTAAAGAGATGCTTCCTGGCTGACTGACCAAAACAATGACATCACACGACAATAATAATAGCACTTTATGTAGGGCTTATGGGGGCAGCTAAGCAGTGGATAGAGCACTGGATTTGGAATTAGGAGGACTCATCTTCCCGAGTTCAAATCTGGTCTCTAACACTTACTAGGTGTGTGACCCTGGGCAAGTCACTTCACCCTGTTTGCCTCAGTTCTTCAATTGCAAAATAAACTGGAGAAGGAAATGGCAAACCACTCCAGTATATTTGCCAAGAAAACCCCAAATGGGGTAACAAAGAGCTGGACACAACTGAAAACAACTGAACAATAACAATACATATGGCTTTAAGATTTGCAAAGTGCTTTACAAATTACATCTCATTTGATTCTCAAAATGTGCCTGGGAAGCAGGTGCTATTATCAGCCCCATTTCACAGATAAGGAAACTGAGGGAGGCAGAGGTTAAGTGAATTGCCCAGGGTCACACAGCTAGTAAATATTTGAGGCCAGATTTGAACTCAGGTCTTCCTGACTCCAGGTCCACCATTCCATCCACTGTGCCACCTACCTGCCTAAAATGATTTGTATATGTGACTAAAGATCTACTGTTAAAAATCTGAAAATCACAGAGAACAAGGGAGGCTCTATAAAAATGGTGAAAGGCAGATGAGAGGTGGATTATGAAAATTCCAGCTGGTTGGAAGGGAGAGCAATGATGTAGGGAAAGGCAAGCAGTGCTGGTTTTGGAATCAGAAAAGAGGGAGGCTTACTTTCAGCTTCTGGACCTGGGAAACCAGGACAAGGAGTGCTGAATGAGCCCCAGTTGACTTAACTGGCTGACTACATCTCAGGGATGCAGTCAGGATCAAAGGAGATAATCTAAGCAAAAGAGCTTTTTCACTCCTCATTGGCTATACAAATATCAGCTATGATTATTACTTTGATATCAAAGCCTGTTCAAATTAAAGAACAAGTAAAGAAAGTATGAGATCCAGCCACAGCAAATAAGCCTCCTTTCTTGTACTGAGTGGGAAGTTCTCCTGCTCTATCAGGAGAATACCCTAGCTGTCATGTATCTAGACTTCACAAACACATTTTAAAAAACCTTTCCCAATAATCTTGATGATGGGAGATGAATGTGTCACTAGGTGTCTGATCAAACTCTCCTACCTAAAGACAGAGCTCAAGGGATTGATACTAATTTGGTGGGAGTTTTCTGGTGCCTCCTGTACTATAATACCTTTGTTCCTTCCTCCTCAATATTTTTATCAGATGACTTGAGGACAGAGAAGACAATGCTTATCAAATCTGATGATGACATCAAGCTGTGAAGGGGTAGTTAACACTCTAGAAGACAGCAGACTCAAGCCCCAAAGACCTCGACTGGACGGAATTTGGGGCCAAAAGCCATCTTTAAGTACTTCCAAGATGTGTGGTTTTCTGTGTGGGTCCTTAATCCAAAGATCACTATTCCCTTATCCTTTACCAGATGGTCTTCTAGCCTTGCTCTGGCCCAAAACTTCATCAGCCCATGGTTACTTTGAGTATAATCTCTTCTGAACTTGCCAGGTGGGTCCATTAACAACAGACATTCTGGGCTAGTACCAGAAAGCTTTTAAGCTTGGCAAGACCCACCGCAGATTACAATCAATCCCCTAACATAGCCTTTGAGAATCTAAGGTCTCTTCTGTGTTATAAGAAAAGATGGTCATCTGCTCTTTCCAGTATTTGTCTTAAATTTGCTAAGCAGACACACAACTAAAGTGTAAAGAATATATTTTTCTTTATCTTGCATCTACATCAAGTCCTAGGATAGTGCTACAGATCTATTAGGAATGATCAGGGAAGGAGGGGCAAGTAATGTCTACTGTGTAACTCTATAGAAATAGTCACTGCTGTAAGTCCATAGAAATATGAGAAAGAGTTTTCTCTTGCTGAGGACACTGAGGCAAACATGAAGGAATGATTCAAGAAAAATGACCCGTTAAGAGTTTGACGCTCATTTGAGAATACAAGGGAGTTTCTGCTAAACAGTTTTAGCCCTGCTACAAGGCCTGGGGCTTGGAGGGGAGTTCCCTGAGGTACCTAAGGTGCTTCCTCCTGATTAAGAGCTTACCTAAAGCAATAGCTCCTGCCGGCCTAGCTCCTGTGCACTCACCCATATAGGGGCCTCTGGGGTCTTCTCTCCCCAGCATCCATGGCGTTTTCCTTTGTTCCAGCTGAGAGATCACATCTAGTGTGGAAACAGGATGAAAACTACTCATGAAAAATGAAAAGCACCAAGGACAGAGAATCACTTCAGAATTCCATTAAAGCCCATTCTTCTCCAGAGAAAAGAAGGCATTACAGGATGATCACGGGGTGACACCAAAACCCTCTGAAGGCTGCTCTATGCAGGTTCCCAAAGTGGGCGATACTACCCCGGGGTGGGGTGGGGGGTACTGGACCAATCCAGAGGGCGGTAGTGCCCTTCGGTGCAATTGGGGAGTACTGAATACGGGTCAACCTAACCTAACCCCAGGGGGGCAGAGTAATTTTTTTTGAAAGGAGAGGGAGTCAAACGAGTTTGGGAATCTCTGCACTATAATGTGCTCCTTGGGAGCAGGTTTATTTATGCTTGTCGTTAGGGGATTTTTTTGTGTGTGGGGGAGGAGGGTGTGCATAGGAGGGGAATGGCTGTATAGTTCACACACTGGGTTTGGAATCAGAAAGAGAATAATTTCACTCGTCCTTTTTCCTTTAAAAAACCAGGATCTTCTCCATGTTTAGATATCTACCCTGGGTACTGCCCTCGATATAAGGCAGGGCTTCTTAAACTTTTTCCACTCAAGACCCCTCAGCACTTCTTAAACTGTTTAAGAAGCTAGTTTAAGAAGTGCTGAAAGGCAATGAAGAATGGGGAACAGGCTTTTCCCAATTTCACAAAGTAATATCTGAGAATAGGGAGCAGAAAGATGAGGGTTCTCTATTCTCTCTGTTATGTCAAATAAACATTGCTCGACACCCTAATGGACTACAGGGAACATTTCCTGAGTCACTAGGGGAGGACAGTGTCCTCACCTAGGAAGACAAGGTTCCTGTAGTTCTCCAGCATCACGTCCCTGTAGAGTTCCTTCTGAGAAGGGTTCAGATGCCTCCACTCTTCCTGGGTGAAATCCACAGCCACATCCTTGAATGTCACTGACTCCTGAAACATAGAAGACATTTCTGCTTAGCCAGAGGCTGTCCCTCACATGGATGTTAGTGAAAGGGAAAGTGAACGGAAGTTTAGAGATTGGGACTTAAGAGTATAGAGGGTTCTGAAACAAGGTATTTATTGAGAGTACTCATTATGTGCCTTATACATTGTACTAAGGGAAATGGAAAGGAATCAGCATTTATTAATCACCTACTACGTGCCAGACAGTGCTAAGTTCTTTACAAATATTAACTCACTTGACCCCACTAGACTCTACTTCTCATGATAAGAAATGTTCACCCTGATTTTTTTTATCTTATTTTATTGGATCTTAACTTAATAAGCACCAAGTAAAATGGACATTTCCAGAGACATAGTGCAACAGAAGAAGAGGACCATACATGAGCCTGTTTTTCTTTTAAACATACATAAATAGATGGGAATGATATGATAAAAATAAATATGCATGTACTTATATTCAAATATATATTAAACATATGTAATAAATTCAACATGCCATTTTCCCAATTGTCCTATTTGTTTATGGTTCTTTCTGACCTTTTTTCCTCTTCCATGCATCTCTTACGACCCTTTGGTTTATAAAGTATTTTCCTCACATTAACGTGGTGAGGTAGGTAAAGTACTTACAGTCCCATCTTACAGATGAGAAAACTGAGCCTCTGGGAAGACAAATTCTTTGCCCACAGTCACGTAATCAGAATGGAGATGCAATTGAAGGGTAGTTTAAGTTCCAACTCACCATTCATTACACCACACAATTCAGAGCATTGCTTTATGGTTCAGTCTCACCTTGCCATACTTTTTCCCAGAGACTGCCACTCTTAAACCCACAAATCCCACAGCGGGCATAATCTACATACATTTGGTAATGAGACATACCACACAAACAACATTGCAAGCAGAAATTTCCAGTCAGAGGCAACACAGTGAAGACTCTTCTTAGCAGTTAATTACCATTCCTATGAAACAACGAACACTCTCCCTTGCAACGTCTTCCAATTATACAATTTAACATTGCTAAATTAAAATGTGCCTGCTTCATGTAGCAATCCCAAATGGCTCTTGTCACTGTATTCAAGGATCTCACACAATCTAACCAAACACACAAGAACCATCACTTGGGGCTTTGCTCAAAGCTGCTACTCCCCAGTGCATTTTAGTCCACTTTACTTTTATTTGCAAAACTCTACTCGGTCACATGTCTTTGTCTCACTCCAACTGCCCCCCTCCCCTTACCTAAGTCTGCATTCAGTTCCCCACTAAGTTTTGTCTTTAGCTGACAAATGCTAGAAGTGGACAAAGTACTTTACATACATTATCTCAAGTCTCCCAACAGTTCATGTGCTAACATTGCTCCATTTTACAGATGAAGAAATAGGTTCAGAGAGGTTACGTGACTTACTGGGGGTCACACAGCTAATGTTAGAGGCAGGATTCCATATGTTCTACCTTGCTGCTTTTCATAAGAGCTGACATTCACCAATCAATGAGCTTTATGTGCATTCTTTGTATTTTTCACTCACCTGTCCACCTATCTCTCATTTATTTTTCCTTAGGCACCCATCCCTGATGCTGAAACCTACCTCTGATCAACAAACATGAAGCCAAACCAACAGGTAGGAAAAAAAACATTTATACTTGCGGGGGGTGGAACTAGATATCCTCAGCTGACGATGTAATATTCCATCTATGAACTTATCTGATGGGAAATGTTTCTACCAACTTATTTTGGATATTAAAGATCAACTGTGCAACTAACAAATATTAGACAAATTTTATCACTTCTGACCAATTAAACTCAAATGATCCTAACTTAAAGGCCCCTCTCATGTTTATCTGGGTCAACTGATCAACAAGAATTTATAAACCCCCTACCATAGTAGAGTTAGGGTTTCTGGTTTTTCGGGTTGGCCTCCCTACCTCCAATCTCTCTCCACTCTAGTCTATCCTCCAATCTGCTGTCACAGTAATCTTCCTAAAGGGATGACCTGAGCATGTTAACCTCTTACTCAATAAACTCCAAAGCCTCCCTGTTGCCTCCAAGATCAACTATAAAATCTTTTGTTTGACTTTTAATGGCCTTCACACTCAGGCACCACACTAGACACTGAGGATACAAAGTTAAAAATGAAACATTCCCAGCCTTCAAGGAGCTAGTATCTACTGGGGAGACCATATGGGTACATAAGTATATCTATATGCACATACATGCGTATATATGTATGTGTATATAGGTGTACCTAAACATAGACATTTATACACAATGCATACACAAAAAGGCCATTCCTTTATATCATATAGCTGAGTACTAGGCAAATAGTACTGATTGGGCAAATGAAAGCTGTGGGAAAAAGGAGAGGGATTCTAGGCAATCAGGTACATACCCATCGAGTGCAGCATCCAGGTCTCTGGGGTTCCAACCTGAGAGTAAGTCAAAATGTATCAGAGAACTAGAGGGACATTTCAGGAAAGAGAAAATGCCAGAGGGTGCTAGAGGAGGAAAACTGGATTTGGAGAGAGGGTTTGAACTACAGCTCAGAGTGACTCTGTGCAAAGTGGCTGTCCCCTAGACTTCAGGTTCTCCCTCTTCCAAATATACAGGTTAGAAGAGACTGAGATTTCTCCCAGCTCTGCGTCTGTGATCTCACCTGGTGGAGCCAGCTTGTCAGAAATACATCAGCCATTCCCTCCTCCTCCTCTGTGCTCTTCTCTTGTGGAAGAGCAGAGTTGTCAGAAGGCACAGCTAGGGAAAAGAGCAGATCCATCAGGGAGACCATCATAACTTTGCAAATCCCAGCCGTCTAGGCTAAAACACCTGTGGACTTCCCGACAGGGAAAGAAGTCAGAGGCAGCAAGTACACAGCACGCAGTGTGCTCCAAGGATGGAGACAAGGGCTATCACTTTGGCTCGCTCTTTCCGGGAAGAAGAGAAGGCACATACCAGTCCCACGGGGAGAGTCACAACCTAGTCATAGAAGGCAGGCTACACAGCTGCCAATGCCCAGCTCTTCTCCTCTGAGGTCAGACCTGGGGTCCAGAGGTTCAGACTGCATGCAGTAAAAGTGGGGTACCTCCAATCAATGAACAAGTATTTATTAAGTGCCTACTATGGGCCAAACCTTATGTTAGGCACTGTAGATACAAAGACAAAGCAGAAACAAAACCCATCCTTCAAGCAGCATGTATTCTATAGGGGGGAGAGAATATGTACATGTATATGCATGTAAAAATAAATACAGAAGTACAAATTAACTCTGGGACAGGGAAAAGACACTAGAGTTAGAGAGGATCGAGAAAAACCTGATATATAGATAACTGAATTTAAGCTTTGAAGGAAACTAGGGCTCTAAGAGACAAAAGGCAGGAGGGAGAACATTCCAGAAACAGGATCAGAGATGGGGTGCTGTGAGGGAGTCAAAGCAGGTCAATCTGGTTAAAGTTAAGGGAGGTGAATAGGGGATAACTTATGTATTAAATGCCAGCCCCAGAAGTTGTTTGTTTTTTTTTTTCTCCTTCGAAGTAATAAGGAAACAGTGGAGTTTACGAAGGAGAATGACGGGGTCAGGCCCCTACTTTGGGATTTCATTTTGACAGCTGCGTGAAGAATGGGTCGCATGGGGGAAGAGTCTGGATTCCAATTCAGAACAGCATCCTATAGCACTTCAGGTTTGCAGGGCCCTTCACATGTGCCATCTCCTCTGATCCTCAGGATTCATGCATTACTGCCTTCATTTTACAGATGGGGAAACTGAGGCAGCGAGGTTAAATGACTTGCCCGGGGTCACAAAACCGGTAAGCTTTTGCAGCTGAAGTTACTGCAATAGACCAGGCAAGGGAGGATGGGAGCAGGAAATACCAATTACGAGACCTCGGCAATGGGAGACTCGCGCCTCGGCCTGCCGGAAGGCTAGCCCTGCCGTGTCCCGGCCGCGGGGACTCACGGACGAGCGGACGGCCGGCTCCCGGACCGCAGAACTTACGTCGGCGCGGGGAAGGGCAGCTCCTAAAAGGCACCTGAGGGGGACGGGGTGCAGGGGAGGGCGCCCGGCTGCGGGGGCAGGGCAGCGAGGCATGGAGGCACGGCAGGCCCGGGGGTCCTGGGGGGCAGCGGCTGGTGGGCCGGAGGAGTCCGAGGCAGGCGCCGGCGACGAGCGGAGGCCCGGAGTCTGGGGGAAGCCGCACGACGAGCCGGGGCTGCATCCGGCCCGGGCCCCGGCGAGGCCGGCCGGGGGCGCCCGGGATCGGCCCAGGGGCTCACGAGGGGCGGGCCATCCGGGGGTTGGGCGGACGAGGCCCGGAGCAGGGGTCGCGCGGCCCTTGCCCGGAGCGAGCCCGAGGCGCGCCCCCCCTCCCCCCCAGCTGGGACAGGCAGCCTTCGCAGCCCGCCCAGCCCACTGGGAACGCAGGGGCGGGGCCGGGGCGCTCGGAACCGCTGCTGATTGGCCGAAGCCCAGAACCGGCGCGACGGGGGCGGGGCCAAGAGCCTGGGTCTCGAGGCGGCGTCACGTGGTCGCAGGGCAGCTGAGGGAGACTCACCGGGTGGAGCAAACAATCCGGAGGATCGGCAAACAAAGAGGGAGCGAAAGCGGAAGTTTCCCCCGGTGACGCGCGCCTGCATCATGTAACTCCGGGAAGGAAGCGGTAACGGCCTTGGCCGCAGCGCCTTGTGGGAGTCGTAGTCGCGAGACCCGGGGAGGCTTCTGCGCGTGTGCCGGACAAAGGCGGTGAAAAGGCGGAGAGAGGGTGAGGTCCCGGGGGGCGCCTCCTGCTGGGGCTCACTCCTAGCTCCCTAGCTGGGGTCTTCTCCTCCTGACAGGCGGGGAGGCTTCCTGGGGGAAGAGTGGCAGATGCCCAAGTGAAGGAGGGAAGTGCCCGACCTGCGCCGCCTGGAGGCGTGGCGGACACAGTGCAGGGCTGCGCTGGGATCCTGCCCCAGACACGTGCGCTCAGCTACCCCGGGGCAAGCCGCGTAACCCTCAGGGGGCTGGACTCGATGGCCTCCCGATCTAGGATCCCACTGCAGCCCAGGCGCTGGGCCTGCCCTCCACCCCCACACTAGCTCCCCAGCAGGTGGCTTCTGCATCCCCACTCTCAGTATGCGTGCTCCCACATAATCAGCCAGCCAAGCTTAACTGGCATTTGACTCCGGTTATTTAGAAGGCGTTACCTCCAGGAGAGTCTCTGCAAAACATACAGCTCCCCCCGAAGCCTGGGACAGGCTCTCCCACAGGTACACCCGGCTGCGCTCAGAGCACGTGCGTTCCCGAAGGCGGCCCCTCGGAGCGCCGGAGCCCTCCTGCAGCACGTGCTTTCCTTCTCCTTCCCGGGGCCCTCCTGGAGGTCCCCACACGTGCACCGCCCCTTTCTGCCGGGCCGCTGAGGAGTCCTGCAGCCGGCTTTCCTCCGCGTGTCTGCGCCCGACCCAGGACAGCCAGGCTCCGCTGTCCGAGAGGACGCCGATGCTCCCGGCATCCTCGCAGGGCTAGGAAACTGAATTCCAGAGGAGTGAAGCCATTGGTCTGTATCTTACCGCGTGTCATCGACCCATTAACAGGCGTTTGCTCAGTGTCTGCAATGAGCCAGGCACTGTGCCAAGTGCCAGGGGTACGAAGAAAGGCAAAAACCAGACACGACCTTCCGAGAGCTTACGTTCTACCAGGGGAAACATGCCAGCGATTACGTAGGAACGAAGTAGTTAGAAAGTAACCTTCGAGGGGAGCCAAGGGACCGGGAGGGCCTCTTGTAGAAGGCAGCCTTTGGGCTGAGTCTTGGACGAAGCCAGAGATCTAAAGAGGGCAGTGAGGAGCAGAGCCGTCCAGGCAGAGCGAGCTGGTGCTATCTCAGTGGCTTGGTCCCACCAGCAATCAGGGCAGCGCTCAGGTATGGGCTTCCATGAGAAGTTTGACTCGGTCCCCTAGTTGTAATGCTGGCTTCCTTCTCAAAACATGTATTTATGTTTACGTCATATCAACCCAGAAGCAAGTAAGGACCTCCAGAGCAAAGACACTTTTCCCTCTTGTACAGTTATACCTCCTTTCATCGCTTAGCTTTATTGCGCTTTGCAGATGTTCCTTTTTTTAAGAACAAATTGGAGATTTGTGGAAACCCTGCTTTGAGCAGTTCTGTATACAGGTGCCATTTTTCCCACAGCATGTGCTCACATCATGTCTCTCACATTTTTGTAATTCTCACAATATTTCAGACTTTTTCATTATTGTTATATCTGTTATGGTGGTCTCTGATCAACGATCTTTGATGTTACTATTATAAGTGTTTTGGGGCACCAGAAACCTAGCCCATAAGACAGAACTTCATTTATAAATGTGTGTGTTTTGACCGCTCCACCCAACCAATTTTCCCCAGTCTCTCTCTCCTCTTGCCTTGCTATTCCCAAAGACACAACAATATTAAAATTAGTCCGGTTAGTAACCCTACAATGGTCTCTAAGTGTTCAAGTGAAAGGAAGAATCAATCCATGCAGCAAACTTCATGTTGCCTTATTTTAAGAAGTTGTTATAGCCACCCTAACCTTCAGCAACCACCACCCTGATCACTCAGCAGCCATCAACATCGAAGCAAGACCGTCCACTAGCAAAAAGATTACAACTCACTCAAGGCTCAGATGACGGTTAGCATTTTTTAAGCAATAAAATATTTTTAAATTAAAGTATGTACATTGTTATTTTAGACCTATTACTATTGCACACTTGTGTAAACATAACTTTTATATGTCCTGGGGAAAAAAAAATTCTGTGACTCACTTTATTGTGTTATTTACTTTATTGCCATGGTCTGGAACTGAACCAGCAATATCTCAAAGCTATGCATGTATTTGTATTTCTAATGCCTACCAGTGTGATGCATATAAAATCCTTGCTGAATCAAATTCAATTGGACTGGTCCTCCTATGTAACAGATAACTGTTTAGCATAATCTTCAGGGTCAAGGGGTGTGTGTGTGAAAGCATTTGTTGATATTCCCACAAATCCATGTATATATTTAATGGCACTTTTTTTGATGAAATAGACACATGTATATGTATAAGATTATATGTATATATGTAGATTTTTATTACTATCTTTTGATTTTAAGTCATCCCATATCCCTACCTTTTGTTACCATCCCTTATAAGAAAAGAGGACAAGAAAAAAATAATTTCAGTAAAACCAATCAACACATCAAAAAAAGGTTAATGTTATATATAATGTTCCATACCTGTGGACACCCCCCCCCCCACTCTAGAAAGAAACATATCTTTTTAGGGCCAAGCTCAGAGAGGAATATTAAAGTTTCCTAATATCACCCTGTATTTTTTATTGCAGTTTACCTAACTTTAAGAATATAGATGCTATGCCCCTTGATGCATATGTAATTAATAAATGTTATTTTTCATTATCAATGGAGACTTTGTTTCCCAGTTTGCCACAGTGCAACAGTATGTACATCTGGTATAGTATAGTGTGGACAATGAGTGAGCACAGAGTTGAAAAGGAAGAGACCCAGCAGAATTACTTTCAGGAAATTTCAAAGCTCTTTTACTGGCCCTAAACTTCCCAGGAAAGGAAAGGTCCATTTTTTTTTCAAACTAAAACAGTTTTGCTATTGTGTATAACAGTGACATGCAGAGCATCCTTGTCTCCAAGGAACTAAAGATAGGTATTTATAGGGGGATGGGATTTGTGCTGGACCTCTACAAGGACCCCAAAGCCCCTGAACCAAGTCTCTGGTGTTTACCTGAGGCACCAGTATAATCCTTTTAACTGCCTTTTCATCGTGGCCCTCATTGTCTGCATCTGGCCCCACCCCAGACTACCTGGCCACTCCTAGATCACATCCAGATCTTCTTACAGCCTTTCAGTATAAAAGATCCATCTTGCCCTGCCACTCCCCTCCTCCATTAAATTGTGTCACAAATGTGTGGATTCTTAAAATCTTGCTCATCCCAACCAGTATTTTAATAAACCTTGTCTCTGACCGAAAGAAGGCTTGAGTCGAATTCTTTTGAGGCAGAACCCCTGTCTTTTGCCCTAGAATTTTGGGGTTTTCAGCACCCCCAGACCACAACAGTATCATACAAAGGGAAATGGAGAGATACGTGGTGAAGTGGGGCCAATGAACAGGCTGCATCCCATAACCAAGGAGGAACTCCAAGGAACAGGAGGAGGAAAGGACAGCCTCAAGTAATTGTATGATAATAAGGGAAGATGGGCTGGGCACATGGCAGGAATGAGAGATGACAGACAGACAGCTAGCGTACCTTATGGGTAGCCTTCCTTATGATATTGGGAGAAATCATGGAAGGCCTCCAAGCATGCTGGCTGTGAGTCTCCCCTAATCTCTTTATGAGGTATAAACACCTTTCTTTGCAGTTCTGGAGTTGTGAGTGGCTTGGCCTATGTTCCTTATATGTATGCGTCACCACCATGATATAGTCTCTGCCCACTCTGCTCAGAGATGCTGTGTTGTTTGTGAGAATGTGCACCCCAGGTTGTGGGTGTGCACAGTTCTGTAACCTGGCTTGCACAGGTTATGGGAATTTGTACTCTCTTGCTAAGAGGTAGTTATGTCTACTAGTTAAAAGGGAAGTATATTTATGGGAGCCCCCTGAGCTACAGTGTTAGGAGTGTAGATCTATAGGATTACCCCTTGAAGTGAAGCAGTCAATACCACACTTCCCTCCCCACCCCCCATTCCCAGGGACCCAGTGTGCAAACCTGTGACTGCAGCATTGGGCTGAGTAGGGGGAGTATGTTACACTCTCTTTACTCACTTAGAAACATGTAGTTTCCTAGTAAAAGGTAAATTCCTTGAGAGTGGGAACTATTTCACTTTTGTGTTTGTAATAATAGTGCCTGGCATAAAGCCTGCCTGGAAACTAGCAGGCATTTAATAAGTGTTTTTTTATTTTTCTATTTTCTTCCTTCATTCTTTTAATTGGGGAACTAAAAATCCACTCACATTTCACGTTATAATGGTTTGTATTTTCTTCAGTTAAATTTTTTCCCTCCCCCTCCCCTGCCCTTTTAAGTCAGCAATGGCTTTGTAGTCTGTTCTGCTTACATTAATCTGACCCTGGTCACCTTCTCCTGATGCACTTTCATCACTACTATATTACTCTGACCAATCCCAAAGTTCCTGAATTTATTTCTTTTTCTGTTACCCTTCCCATTTTCCATACTCAGATGAGTACGCTGCCAACTGTCTCCTCATCCACTCACTCCCTTGATTTTAGGTGGCATTTGTAAATGCCTCCCCATGAAATGTTTTTATTCTACTTCCCTTCCTTCTTTCATTTTTTAAGGATATTCTAGAATCTTAATAGGTTATGTTGTCATATAAGATATCTACTGTCACAAACATCTGACCTAGAAAGCAGCACAAGAAAAGAGAATTTAACAATCGCTGCGACTCCCTGAAAACCATGACCAAACAAAAAATGGATATCATAGTGTGAGGAATGCTAACAGTTTGGTTCCCACAGAATTGATAAGAAAACAGGCCAGGGGGAGATTAGGTTATTGATTAATTGATTTCTTGGTCTATTGGTTTACACAAATATGTAAATAAGATAAGGGAGTACATCAGGCAATGTCCTCGAAAGTATCTTGTTTGTCCAGGCTTTCCGGCTCTCCCCTCCTTTTTTCTTACTTTCCTGCTGAACCAACAGTTTCTTGTTTCGAGCCTTTTTGCAAACCTTGTTGCTGGGGAAAAGTTTCCAAGCTTAGACTGTGAGCTCTGAAGCCCAGCCAATGGGAAGAGGAGCTAGTGGGAGGGTGGGGGGTCCACCTTAGGGTCTATATAAACTGGCTTTGAGCTACACTCCCTCGAACACCCTGGCTGGGGCCATCTTGAGCAGATGCTGGGTGTGTCCTTTCTCATGAGAAAGCAATAAAACTCCTTTTTGCCTTTCTTAAGAAAAAGTCTCTGATTTGATTATTTTGGGGGTCACAAACACCCTGCACAATAGTTCAATAAATCATAAAATAAAATTGCCCAGAATTACTAGAACCAGAGCATAACCTGAAAATAGAATCCATTGCTCAATTACTTGAAAGAAAATTCAAGTGGAAAACATTTGGAAAT